CCGGAGAGACTCCCCCGAGGTCGCGGAAGCCCCCGGGCTGAGCGGTGCTCGGGCTTTGTTTGCTGCTTGTGGTCCGAGGCTGCAGGCTGTTTGGTGTGGGCTCTGTCGTAGTCCCCCTCCAGAGAGAGCGGGTATCTCCCAGGTCTGCGTGGGCTTCAGTTGTGCAAATCTTAGTTAAGGTCCTGGCCGACTCAACTTACTGCTACAAAACCCCGCAGAGATGGGATATCTGACCTGGGGGCTGCGATCCGTATCATCCCCAGCAGAACTTTTTGCAAGTTTCGCGTAATGTGGGACGTGTTTGTGGGAAGACAGTCGGCGCTTCCATCATATCCTCAGATGACCCCCCAAAAGAGTAAGAACTTCCACTTAAGGCTTAGAGCCTGACACTTGGGGATTCTTTTCTCCCCGTAAAGTAAGTGCCTCTACTTCCAAGGGTGTTTAAGGGTTAATAATACCAGAGTGCTCTCCCCGGAGGAGCTGGGGCAGTGTTTAAAAGATCAGGGATAATACGTTTTCCGCAGCCCCTCTATAGATAAGTGAACAGGGGCACAGAGTTTGAGAGCCTTGTCCAAAATAATGCCTGGAGCTGAATCTCCAAATGATGTCACGCATCACCCTGTTGCAAGTTGTACGTGCGACAATGCTTTATACAGCTGCCCTCCCAGTGAAAGGGTTAACGGGTGGTGGAGGAGAGCAAGTGTCACTGAAGTGTCTTGTGGTCGAAAGATCTTGCCTAGGGTTTAGGGTCAGGCCAATGTCAGTTCAGTGACCAGAGTATTGAGCTTCGGGAACACAGGAACCGTCCTCCTCTGGCAAATGTAATCTATGCCAGGCTCCAGACTTCACAGCATTAGGACAACTACAGAGAAAGGCCAGGTGAGCGTCTGCTTCTCCTGGATTCTGTTTTGAGTAAGCTTCCAAAAGCAAGGATGTTTGAATATCCAAGTCTGCAGTTGTCAGCTGCACACCTCCAGTCAACTGTCGGAGCTGTCAGTTATGTTGTCAGGAAGTACAAGATTCTTATTCCAGGCTGAGAGTCACCTAAAGGTAGAGGGGGAGTGTATGAGGTGCACCTGGCTCTCCCCTGCCCGCTCTGTTTCTACCAGCACTGCCTGGAGCCGGTTTGTCTCGTGGAAATGGTGGCGTGTTTATTAATCTTTCTGTGAGTAGACACAGCAGTTCACTGTAGTTTCATACTTAACTTTATATTTACATCTAACAGCTTTGTTTTACATACACATATACATCACTTCTCATGTATACGTGTGTATAAAGAAGAATTTTAAAAATACTTTTTTTCCCCAAAACCCCTTAAAAACCACAAGAGCCCATTGTGTGGATAGATTTTTTTGGGCTGGGCAACACCATCCTCGGATCAGAGCATCCAGGAGACTTGGGGGTTCAAAAAATGCTACTCTTCTAAGCCTTGTGGAAAGTGCACACCACAAGTTTAAGTTTTCATCAGTATCTATTGAGTTTGGTCCAGGGTCCACGGGCCTAGGCTGGCTGAGCCTCTTGTCCTGGGTTGGCCTCCTGCCCCATCTCCCTGGCCTTCTAGGGAAGTGCACTCCCTCTGTTGAGTGGCCCCGAGGACCCTGTCTGCTGCCACACACAGACAGTAGTCCTAGCTTGTTGGAGAAGAGCCTTTTTGTTGAGCATTTTGCGAGCATGGCCACTGCAGGACTGTGTGGAGGAGGCATGTGTGAGAGCTGCTGCCCGAGAGTCCCCCGGTTCCTGCTGCCTTCAGCTACCCCAGTGCTCAGGTGTGGGTTTGTGGAAGATGAACCAGAGACTGACTTAGGACATCAGTCTCGGGAGACGCTCACTTCGGGAACCCAAGGTTGTGTATAGCTGTGGCAGGTGAGCACTTTGCCATCGCCGAGGTGTGAGGAGAACTCGGATGTGTCTCCCCTGTGTTCTCAGCCATGTCGGCAGCCAGTGCAGAAGGAAGGCTGCTGTAACCAGGTGCTGTGCGTGTGAGGGGCTCCCACCAAGCGAGCTCTGCGGCGGACACCAACTGGTGACTTCCAGTTCAGGCCAACTCTGTCTCCCTGGAGGCAGCTTCATATCCCACAGGGCGCGCACTAAGCTCCCAAGACTGCCATGCCATCCTCTTCCGCCCCCCACCAGTGGAAAGTCTGGGCCTCTGGAACTTCTGACCGACTGATTTCAGGTTGGGATTCTCACATCCCCTCTTTGGGCTCGGTTAATTTGCTGGAGTGGCTCACAGAAGTCAGGGAAACACAGTTATTGGATTATTATAAAGATTTCTACAAAGGATACAGGTGAAGAGAGGTGTGGGGGAGGGCATGGCGCATCCGTGCAGCTCCTGGGTGCCCCACCCTCCAGGACCTCCCCACGACTGTCCTAACCTGGTCCTTTTGGGTTTTCGTGGAAGCTTCATAGTGTAGGCGGGATTGGTTAAACCACTACTGCCTCAACTGACCCCCAGCCCTCTTCCATGCCTGGGGGTCAGGCTAAAGTCCCAACCTTAATTCTGCCTTGGTCCCTCTGGTCACCAGCCCCATCCTAAAGCGGCCAAGGGGCTGCCAGCCAGGAGTCAATCATTAGCACATGAAAAGATTAGCATCTGAAGGGTCTGATGCCATCAGCTAAGGCTGTCAGTACTGGGTCCCGAGTTGGTCCCACCTGACGCTTGGCCCTGGCACAGGACTGTCTGGAGCCCAGGTTAGCCTTCAGCTCTGGAGCTCTGCCCTGCTCTGTAGAAACTCACGGGATTGCCACACGCCAGGTGCCCCACCCTGAGTCCTAGAGATGTAGCAGACTGGGACAGACGCTGTCCCTGCTCTAGCAAGGACAGAGCCAAGTGCTTATGGCCATGCGTCATGGTTCATGCCTGGAATCCCAACGCTTTGGGAGGCTGAGGCAGGAGGATCACTTGAGCCCAGGCATTTAAGAGCGGCCTGAGCAACATAGTGAGACCTCGTTTCTACAAAAAAACCCCAAAAAACAAAAATTAGCCAGACAGGGTGGCGCACGCCCCTAGTCCTAGCTATTTGGGAGACTGAGGCAGAAAAGCTGCCTGAACCTAGGAGCTCGAGACTGTGGTGAAGTGGGATCATTCCACTGTACTCCAGGCTGGGCGACAGTGAGACACTCTGACTCCCCCCCCCCAAAAATACCATTTTGGAGGTTCCCAGGATTTTAGGAGTTATGTGCCAGAAGCTGAAGACCAAACATTTCATAAAACCATGCTAGGGCGGGTCCAGTCCTAATTCCTTGCATGACCTTGTAAAGCAAGTAAAGTCAGCAGCCTTGGCCGAGCTCTAGAAAAGAGGTGAGTGTCATAAGCTGTGCAGGTCTTTGTAGTTTTTACAGCCTTGGGTTGCTAAGGTTTTGTGGACTCTGAGACAGATCTGACCAGTCTGAAAGGACCAAATAAATACAAGTGAAAACTGAGCTCAAAGTCTGTGTTCGCTGGTAGCCCATTGGGAATCGGTTCCGGCGTTTCTCACTGGCCTTTCCTGCGAGCGCAGCGCTCTTGCAAATGGAGATATGCTAAAAGGCTGACTCTGGCCTCATAAACATGCGCCTTGCACTTGGGCCATAATTCAAAAATTGCTTTGAACCAGAAATCCCATTTTGTTGATTGAAGAAGCTCGGTGCCTTTTCCTGCGTGGCCGTTTATCTCTGCCCAGCCTATGTGACCAGGTTGCTGGGAGGCAGGAAGGTGACATGAAATTCCTCATCCTAGTGGGCTTTTCTGTTGTGTGGCCTTCAGACATAGTGTCGTTCACACTGAGTTCATCCAAAAAGCAATGCCTCAGCCCACTGGTGAAGGCTGGATTCAGCCTGGGGGAAAGGGGGCACATGACCTTCAGATCCCTGCGGTCCTGACACCTGTCCACTCACTGAAACCCTTCTGGATGGAACCAGCAGGCAGGGGATCTCTGGCGTGATCTACCGTTTCAGGGCTGATGGAGAGGAGCGTGGACTGGGACTTAATAGGTGTTCTTGTTTTCGTTTTTTTTTCATACAAGGTGCAGGGAGGGGTTAAGTTATGGTGAAATAAAGATAAGCAGCTTATAGCAAACAGTTGTGCACATGGTTACAGGAACCTCTGATGTGCGGGATGCAACAGGGTCCGTAACACTCTCTACAGGTCTTGGCTGCTGTCACGGGGGTAAAGCCACTATCCAGGGATCCACAGCCCCTTTTATCAGAAAGGCTGGGTTTTATATAAACGCTTAGTTGGCATGGTGGGTCAGTGGCCACAAGCCCTTGACCAGGTGTCCACATCATCCAGAAAACTCTCTACCCAAGGCAACCGCAGCCCGTGCCTTCTGGCCTGATGGGGCGAAGGGTCCTGGGTGGCCACCGCAACGGGGAGGTTTTGCTGGAGTGAATGCATCTTAGTGTTGGGTGGTCCTTGAACTCTGCCTGCCTGGGGGGCTGCCTGGCCTGCAGCTGCCAGCCCCCTCCTGGCCCCAGTGCCTTGGCACCCTTGCTGGGTCTCTGCTGCCCCTTCCATGCCGACTGAGAACTACGAGAGCACAAACCAGCGACTTGGGAGAGAGCCCAGGGGCTACTCCTTCCCTGAGACTTGACAGAGCCCACTGATGGTAGACCTGCAGGATATTCCAGCCAGACCTGTCAGTTACACAAAGAAGGGAGATAACCAGGGGAAAGTAGGCTCCAAGTCAAGTAACCTGAGTCCGTGGGTGCCACGGAGTTGCACTACCCTCTGGTTAAGGTCATTCTCTAAATAATTCAGACGTGGCCACGCTGTGCTCACTTGGATGCTGTTTTCTTTTCCTTTTTGTGCTGCCTGCGGGCTGTGTCTGGTGGACTGAGGCTGACCCTCTTCCTTCTGCCATGTGGGCGGAGTGGGGAGGCAGGGTCTATACTGTGGGCACGTCTGGATCCTCAGGTTGTGGAGGGTTCTCTAGGAAGTGGAACTCATCTGTCATGAAGGTGTGATTTTAGAAGTGCAGGACCGTGTTGCTAAGACGTCCGGCAAGGGGAGCTCCGAGTGGAGGTGGGAGCTGCTGTATCTAGTGCTGGCTTTCTCCCTTGAGCTTTGCAGCAGCCATTCTATAGGCAGAAGGAAACCCCTTCCTCTTCTTGTCTTGGGAGGGTGATGCAGAGAGTGAAAGCAGAGAGGGAAGTGAGTGCTTGCCTTGCTAGTACAGATGGACTGGGTAGCTCAGAATTGAGTCTTGTACTAAGTCTCCTTGAATAAAGTGTCTTTTGACGTTTAAGGAAGCAAGGGGCTGGGAATATCATGCGTACCACTCAGAGTTGGACAGTGGCCTCGCTAATGGGCACAGATTTCCGTGGAGGCTGAATCACAGACCCTGATGATGTTCTATGTTGACTGAGGATGAGAACTGAAGTATGCTGGCTGCTGCTACAGCCAGCAGGCCTGTCCCTTGAGAGGCCTGGCCCCAGGAGGCCCCGTTTCATGGGTCTGTGGGCAGCAGCGTGAGGAAGCCGGGAAGGCCACGGCCTGCGCCAGCCCCTCCCACACCCACTAGAGCCAAGGTCTTCCTGTCTCCCTCTCTGGAAAACTGCGTGTTCTCTGCTGTGTTCTCTGCTGTTTCCTTCTGATTCCCCTGAAAAGGCTCTGAGTACAGTGTGCAGTAGACAGGAATGACGGGGACTTGATTGGGTGATGACCAGGCAGCTGTGATTCGGGGTGCCTGAGTTCTGAGGTCCCTCAATGGAACTCTGTGCTTGCTGTGGGAAAGTGGGCTTGGCCCCAGATGAGGCGGTTCTAATGTCCCAAGTGATGGCAGGCTTCATGCAAGTACTTCTGTACCTCAGTGTGCAGAGGGGGCCAGGAAATGTAATTTGGCTTATTTTTTTAGTGTTTTTATTTTTGATTTTATTCTTTTTGAATTGGAGTCTCACTCTGTCACCCAGACTGGAGTGCAGTGGCATGCTCCCGGCCACCGCAGCCTCGACCTGCTGGGCTCCGGCGATCCTTCCGCCTCAGCCTTCCGAAAAGCTGAAACTACAGGCGCGCGCTACCGTGCCCGGCTAATTTTTGATTTATTGTAGAGATGAGGTCTTGCCAAGTTGCCCGGGCGGGTCTCAAACCTGCGGGGTCAGGCAGTTCACTCACCTTGGCCTCCCAAAGCACAGGATTACAGGCTGAACCACCGAGCCTGACCTTTTTCAGTGTTTTTAAAAAGTCATCTTAAAGAGAAGTCAAAGGATGAAATGGTTGTAACTGAGCTCCTGCAGGCAGGTTTGGGGGCGCCCACATTGCAGAGTGCTGGTGCGGGGGCGATTCGGGGAGCCTCTGTCCATGGGCGGGGCCTGGGTGACACAAGTGCCAACGGTGAGTCACCACGGAGGATGGAAGGATGGACCCTGGCTGGCCTTGTGTCTTCAAGCCTCCAAGAGCAATTCCGCAGTGGGAGGAAACCTTCCTTTCCGTGTCTTTTGTTCATGCTGTCATCAGCAGCCTTGGAAGCAGAAGCAGCCTGACAAGCTAATTCTCTTCCCTTTCTCTGTTTCTACAGAAACTTGAAGGGTCAAAGTGCAAAGGGCAGCTTTTGATTTTTGGGGCAACCAACTGGGACTTGATTGGTCGAAAAGAAGTGCCTAAACAGCAAGGTACGAGAACAGTTCCTAAAACCCATTGGTGCTTCCTGGGTGCTGGGCATCCAGTGCAGTTCTGTGACCAACCCCAGGTAGGTATTCTGATCTGCAGACGTGTTCGGCTCCATGCTGATGGAGCTGGATTGTTTTTTTTATTTTTTGAGTTGGAGTCTCACATTGTCGCCCAGACTGGAGTGCAGTGGCCGCTCCCGGCCGCCGCAGCCTTGACCTGCTGGGCTCCTGCAATCCTTCCGCCTCAGCCTTCCGAGTAGCTGGAACTACAGGCGCACGCTGCCACACTCGGCTAATTTTTGATTTATTGTAGAGATGAGGTCTCACCAAGTTGGCCAGGCAGGTCTCGAACTCGTAGGCTCAGGCAATCCACTCACCTCAGCCTCCCAAAGCGCAGGATTACAGGCTGAGCCACCGAGCCCGGCTAGAGCTGGATTTGAACCCTGGTCTTGTGTGAATTCATTTCTCATCACTGTACTTCCTTAAAAAAAAAATTCCATTACAATGGCACAGGAAGATTGAAATAGTCTCCTTAAGCGAACACTGACACCTTTTCCATTCTCCTCCTCACGTCACTTGTTTTCATTAAAGTGAAGAACTGGTCCTGTGAGATGGTGTCTGGATGTCCTAGGCATTTGTCAGATGTCAAGTGTCAATGTCAGACACAGAAGAGTGAACATTTCTTTGCAGGCTGCCAAGCTGTTGCAGGAACTGGTTTAACACAACAGTCTGAGAGTTGAGGAGCAGGGAGGTCCAAGAAGTAACTTTTTGTCCCCAATTACCTTTAGAAAATTGGTGGCTTTCCTCAGGGGAAATGGCCCATCCAAGAGAAGGCAGGCTGGCACACAGCCATACTTTATGGCCTTTTGATTTCATTTGGAGAGGTTCCCAAAGTGCTTTCCAACACTGCTTTGCCCCATGAGCAAATATTTGCACACGGGCACGCCCTAGTGCCACCGACTTGTCTTGTTCCATGGAGCGCTGGACTCGTCTTGTTCCATGAGAAAGCAGGCATCTGGGCAGCGCCGGGTCCAGCGAATTTAGAAAGGAGTCTGAGCCGCAGGCCACAGTGCCTCTTGTGGAAGATGCCCAGCCTCGGGACTAAGCCATGAGGGCCACAACCGCAGTGGCTGGTGTCCCGGGAAGTACCTCTTGGTCTGTGATAACTCAAGGCCCGTGCTGATGGTACACCTCCTGCCAGTCCTGTGCCCGTGTTGCATCCTTCCCAAAGCTGCTCTTCAAATGAGCACCTGCTGGTAGTCAGACACATAAGCCAGAGGGGAAGTGAATTCCAGGAGGCAGGCACCGGGCCTGGGTTGGGCCTGCTCTTGGGGTACCAGGACATCCTGCAGACATGCACCTCATATCTTGCTCTCACAGCGCACTGGGGCAGCGTGGCTCTGCATACCTCCCGGTGTCCCCTGACGCTGGGTATTGTCGCAGCACATTGTCATAATCTCCCACTGCCAGTTTGGCTTCGTGATAAAAAGACTTAGCTTCTCTCCCTCCCTCCCGAGTTTTGTTTAATCCAGTTCCTTAACCTAGGTGCCTTCTTGTTAGGGTTCTCCTAGGTTTTAGTTGAGACTGTCATTTTGGTTTGCTCTTTACCTTGGAAATTGGTTTTTTTCCTCACCTTTCGGAAGAGAGGGGTCTTTGGTGCCATGTGTAGCTTGGAGCCCTCCGGGCCACGGGGGTTGGTCCTATCACTGAGGGTGGAGGGCAGTCCTGACAGCACTTACTTGACAGGCACCTTCTAGGGGGCCAGGTGACCGATGGAGGAGCTGTCGCCCTCTGATTGGTTCCCACATCCCAATCAGTGTGACACACTGGATCTGGCTGAGGCTAGTGTTTGAGAATAGTCACCACAGTCTTGGAAACACTCTTGAGAGGTCTCAATTTTAAAAAGCAAGCAAGCCAGGCTCATTGGCTCAGTCTGTAATCCTGTGCCTTGGGAGGCTGAGGTGAGTGGATTGCCTGAGCCCGCGGGTTCGAGTCCCGCCTGGGCAACTTGGCGAGACCTCATCTCTACAATAAATCAAAAATTTGCCGGGCATGGTGGCGCGCACCTGTAGTTCCAGCTGCTTGGAAGGCTGAGGCGGAAGAATTGCCGGAGCTCAGCAGGTCGAGGCTGCAGTGGCCGCTCCACTCCAGTCTGGGCGATGGAGAGAGACTCTAACTCAAAAAAAAAAAAAAAAAAGCAAGCAGACAGTTGGCCATGCCCGTCTGCTCATAGGCCAGGTGGGGGCAGGAGGAGTGGCTTGCTTCCTGCCACTGTCCTGCTGGCTTTATGGCGCACCTGCTGTGCACAGGCATTAGTGAGGCCCTGGGTTAAGGACCCTGGCTGTGGCCCTCCGTGGCTCCTCACGCAGGACTGGAGTAGGGAGGCCGATGTGAAGGAGATTGCGAAGTCCTCTGTGTGCTGGGAGAGCTTCCCAGAGGTGGGTGCTTGACCTGAGCTGAGGAGCAAGCAGGGGGCAGGGAAAGACCTTCCGGGGAAGTGAACCCTTGGCATAGGGGGAGGGGTCGTGAACTGAGATGCCTGAGAAAGAAGGAAGGGGCAGAGCTGGAGGCGTAGCCAGGAGCAGCCACAGCAGGGCCCTCCTGGGAAAGCCCTCAGGCTGCTGGAAGGAGCCTGGAGGGGGGAAGACCGGAGAGCCCGGAGGTCTGGGAATGAGAGGGCGTGGCAGGTCGCAGTTCCAGGACCAGGGGGCTTTCCCACCCTGACTGACAGGCCATGGAAGGTCTGTGCCCAGCACCCCACCTCCTGGACAGGCTGAGTGCCAGGCTGGGCACTCGTGGGT